ACTTTTACTCCACCATCTTACTTCCCCTGTTTTTCTCCTGTGAGCTAATGTTTGCTCAAAATAGTTTTATATAGGCCTAATGAAGAAAAGCCTAAGGAGTACAGTCTCCTCTGCTTTAACTCTTCAATGCTCCTCCAGCGGCTGCTCAGCTCGGGCTGGACTCGAACCGCTGTTGCTCAGAGCTCAAACTCTTGAGCGAGCTCTTAACCAACTGAACCACTTGGCCGGCCCAACATGCTCCACTTTTGAGTCATAGGAACAGAGCACAGTATAGACCGTTCCGAACAGAAGACGACATAATCTTCATTCAGAAATATCATGGCATGTTCACTGCCCCAGACAGGTCTAAAACATTCAAATGTGTTTGCATTCCTCAAAAGCAAGCCAATACACAGAAGGGGGACACAGTAAAAGCAAAGTAGACAGGGAAGAGAAATTCAAAACAAGGACTGTAATAATTGTGACTGTGTTTTTAACCTCATAAAAACCATATACAAGGGGAAAATTATCCTTTATTCCCTATGCAGTCCTCAAATAACACCATTTTGTTCAATGTCTTTTTGTTACAACATTAATGAGATGCCTAAGAACTTACTCTTGTTTACATCAATTAGCTTATGGTAAAACTGGTTTTGTTATAAGTTGTTTGCCGTAGTTTGAAGAACCTATTAACAATGTTAAGTGAGGAGTTACAGTACTTGAAAAGGGTAATTTGCTTTTCTAAGGTCACAGGCAGGCCTAGAACTCAGTAAGCACCTGTACTCTTCCCCAAAGACCAATCACCATAATCCTGGTCAAGGTTCTTGGGCATCAAGCCAGGGCCTCCTAGCCATGACCCTAGTCCTTGTCATTCTAGATCAAATATTTCTAACCATTACATAGAAAGGAGTTAATTATCCTTCAAGTCTCAAAAATAACTGGTTTGGGTGGAAGACTGATTGTTTGCCTGCTTACTTGCTTGCTTATTTATTTATTTAATTAGCTGAGCCATCCTGCCACCTGTTGGCAGCTCAGTGGCAGCTCAGCTTGGGCCGGGACTCGAACCGCTGTTGTTCAGAGCTCGCAATCTTGAACAAGCTCTTAACCAACTGAGCCACTCGGCTGGCCGTTGGGTGGAAGATTTTTAAAAAAGGAATTTAAAATGTTACATAGGGACTATGACAGCAAATGAGCATGGCCAGGGCCCAAACAAATGGAGATCTCTTTCCTTGGCAGTCAGAAAAATGCATACAAATTGTCTTTCCTACATAAACTCTTTCCACACTTCTGCTCACAATTACCCTCATGATCAAGGGCCAGTGGAAGC